GCTGCTGGAGGGGGTTGTTGCTCAGGCCGCACCTAACAAGGACTCTGCTTAGTGCAGAGCGTGGAGGAGATGCCGTGTGTGTGCATTTACAACACGTTGCATCCCCCGAGCAGGAGCACGGTGGATGCTCCTCGCAGCCTGGACATGCGCACCCCATCCAGCAACCCAACAACAGCTCCCGCCAAGCAGTTGTCCTTCAGTGGCATCTTGCAGGACTGGTGCTTACAACAGCTCTCGAGGGGAATTTGGGTGCCAGCAGGTTGGATTTCCCCCCAGCCTTCAAAAAACCACCTTTAAGACACTGGATTTTGCTGTTGAAAAGAAAGGAATTTAAGGTTTTGCAAAGTCGGGAAGGTGCTGAGGTGCCCGGTGGTGGCTTGCTGCAGTGGAGAGGGCCAGCTTGCTCACTCGCTCTGCCAGCCTTCTTTTTGTATGCATTGGAATCAGGTTATTAATAACTCTTTTTAAATAGAGCAGGATTTAATTCCTTTCAGGGCTAGGGAAGAACTCAGTCATTCAAAGGGAGTGCTGGAGGCTGTGAAGTCAGCTCTTGGGTATGGAGCCCTGAGCCCCAGCCAAACAGTGGCTCCTGCCCCAGCCCCGTCTCCCAGCGAGTCGAAGAGGCAGCAGCGTGTGGGGGGAGCAGCCCCAGCTCCAGGTCTGGAGTTGGGAATGTCCTGCAGAGCCAGCAGGGAGATTCGAGGAGGGTCTGTGGCTTGCTGGGCACAGCTCTTCATGGGTCAGTGCCAGAGGCAGCCCACAGGGTACCCCACAATCCAAACAGGGATCCACACAATCCTACACCCCTCATTCAGTGCATCAGAGCCTGGGGCTTCTCTCCAGCACTAACAGCAGAAGGGAACAATTAACTACCAAGAGATTAGGGTATTGCAGGTTCTGAGGCAGTGCAGGTTGGCAAGGTGAGGCTTGGTCCTTCCATCCTCTCGTACAGGGGGTATTGTGTAACTCTCCCAACCCTTTGGACATAGCATATGCAAAGGGTGTTTTGGAGCTGTGGAATTTAGTCCAGTCATGTTGAAATTGGGTCATCCTTTGTTAATGTCACTTTTTAACATCCATGGAAGGCAGCAGTGAGCAAAATACTCAGTGCAAAACACACCACAGGGGTGGAAGCAGAGGCTCTGGGTGGTTCCGGCAGTGTGGATGTGGTCTGAGCTGAGCAGAGGTATAACTGAAGGTATCGTGGTGTCACCAGCTTGAGGAGGCTTGATGGAGAAGCCCTCGAAGGAGCCACTTGCTGGAGCACTCACTCAGCATTCAACCTTAAAGAAAGTCAAACCACTTCTCCTGGGTGTCATCAGCTTTTCCCTGAAGAAAACAACTCTCGTTTGTCTTTCCCTTTGGAAGTGGGCTGTAAATCCAACAGCTTTTCGTCGTGATGGAGATGCTTTTTAAAACCCATGTGTGAAGTGCAGCCGTTTATGAAGAAGTATTGAGTGCTGCGAATGCTTTCTCAGCCCAGACCTGTCACCCACAGCTCGCCTGGCTTGGCAGGGAGTCTGGGGCAAGCATTGCCAACCCGGAATGACAACAGTGCATCCCTGAGGGCAGCACATCTCCTGCCCTGTTCCTAGCTCGGACCGAGGTGGAGCAGTGGGGGGGAAGATGAGTCTGCATCTGCAGAAGAGGAAGTTCCTGGTGCTTGTTAAAACGTGGCTGAAGCTCCGAAGCTCCAGGGTTTCTGTTTCCCAAGCTGGTGGGTGGCTCATTCTCATCCTGGATATGCATTTTTTATTCACATACACGACTAATCCTGTTTGGAATCCTGTTAAGTTCTTGTTCTTCTTAGTATCCTGTGGCAATAAGTTCCAGAAGCTAATTGTGCTGGTGTTGAGCTCCCTTGATCCCCTTTGCTCATGCTTGGTTTAAATTGTAAGTGTTGTTCTGAGAAGATGGGTTCATATTATTTCTTTTTGTGAGCTCATCTGTGGGTTTGATCCCATTTGTTCTTGCTTTGCAATTCCAGCTTCAGGATGTACAAGTCGGCTCCAGTGCAAGGATGGTTACGGTGATGAGCATCCTTCTGGGAGGGCTCAGAGAACCACGGACTGGTTTGGGTTGGAAGGGACCTTAAAGCTCATCTGGTTCCACGGGCAGGGACACCTTCCACTAGAGCAGGTTGCTCCAAGCCCCTGTGTCCAACCTGCCCTTGAACACTGCCAGGGATGAGGCAGCCACAGCTTCTCTGGGCACCCTGTGCCAGTGCCTCGGCACCCTCACAGGGAAGAAATCCTGGAATTCCATGTGCTCATTACTCAGCTCTGTGTTCTGCTTAATAACTAAGCAGTAATTAGCTCCACAGCTTTGCTCCTACACTTATAATAGCCTCCACTAAAGTTATGGGGGTTGGAGGCACTAATGGCTTACGGAGTAACCAGTGAGCAAGAGGCTTTTATCACCACCTTTACTTCGAGCCTGAGCTTTACAAACCTTTGCTGCCAAACACCAACAGCTCTGACAGAGGCTTTGTGATGGTGCCTGTGTGTGCCCCCAGTGACAGAGCCCTTGTCCCCAGCGTCTGCTGGGCTGGATAGGCACTTTATTCTGGTTGGGGGCCGTTTTCCAGCAGCGATCAGACCTATTCCCATCCCAAAGGTGAAAGGAACCCTGTGTTTAGGTTTAGGGATGCTTTGCCCGGGGGGCAAAGCTATTGGTGAGAATAATACTTTGTACCCTGAAGTGTTTATTAGCTTTGTAAAGCTTTTGTTGTAGGATTTGGCTGTGTGTGTTTGCTATTTCCTGGCTGTTTGTAATGACTGGGTTTGTTTGGGGGGGTTGTCTGTGTTTTTCCTACATCCAGGCAGTATTTTTACTCTAGTGACATATATATATATATATCTCTACACACACACACTCAACTCAATCAAGTCTTTAGGTTAACATGTTCTAAATCACTTCTGTTCAATGGGGGAAAACCAAGGAGTAATGACACTCCTCAGCCCCACAGGAAGAAAGAAGGGAAAACCACAACCTGATTGCAGATGGAATCAGTGTTTCCTACAGCAAACGCCAGCACTGAGGCAAATTAACTCCATTTTAAAGCAGAACCTTCAGTGCTTAATAATCCAGCAGGTTCCTAACACGTGGCTCCAGGTTTTCTTACAGCTTTTTCTGGGAGATGAATGCCCTTTTCATGTTGTCATGCCTTGACACCATTGCCCTCTGCCGGAGGATGGGGAATCTCTGCCACCATGTGGCACAGCCCTTCTGCTTCCAGCATGTTGGAAGAGATCCCTGCCAAGGAGGCTGGTTCCAACTATGCCAAACACCTTTGGGTTAGAAGCATTTTAACCCCCAAATCGCTTAGATTCGAGCAGCCTGGAAAAAGGAAGTATTCTTTCAGTTGCTTCGTGTTGCACTTTATTCCTCTCCCTTTTCCCTGCAGAAAAGGGATAGCAGGAGCCTCAACGTGGACAATCTGAACAAAGGCAGGTTTGGGTTTGGAGGCACGCACTGGGAAAAGGGGACTTGTAATGTGACGAGTGAATACCTTGAGGAGGAACATCATTTTTCCCCTTCTACTTCTTGGCGAGCCTCCCTTGCGCCATGAACAGCAGCAAAAGGCATCATTTGGTTGGGCAACAAGGGATTTGGGGGCTGCAGGACAAGCCCTGTGTCTCGGGCTGTGGAGCTGTGACTTCTCTCACCAGCAGTTGTACCCTCATGGATATCCTGGCTGATGCTGTTCACAGCAGCAAATGGATTTCACCCTTTAACACTCACTGGTGAGGTGGGAGCGTGGCTTTGGTACACTGAGAACTGGCCTCACCCCGTGTTGAGAGGGGACACGCTTGAAGTGCTTTGTCTGGATCCAGATTTGCTGCTCGCAGCAGCCCCAAGGGAGTTCTTCCCATCTCCTTCAGCCAGGCTTCCCGGGGACAACTGCAGGGACAGCAAGGACGAGGCCGGATGCTCTTTCCTGAGGGTGCTTTGGGAGCGTGGGGGCCAGCAGGATGTCTCTGACTGGGCAGGGATGCAGCAGCAGGCTGGGATGTGCTGGAGGAGCTCCTCTTCTTCCTCCCTGGCTGCTTTCTCCAGTCCTGAGCATAAACAGGGACAAATCTGCATTGCTGGGAGATGCTTCCTTGAAAGTGGCTGCACAAAGCAGATCCTTGAGCTGTGCAAGCGGTTCCCTGCTGCTTCCCTGTTCTTCCCTGCAGGAATCCTGCCTCTCTGTAGAAGCGGGTGTGTTTGGGGGCTGGTTGCTGTTGGAGACCCTTCCAGGGTAGGTGCATGTGAGGTGGATGGGTCCCCAGCTCCGTAGATGATCTCTGGCACAGCTTTCTCTATGGTTGCATCCAGCAACTCGAATCTCGCTTCCAAAGGACAACCCATGGCTTCTTGGAGCCGTTTCACTTCAACTAGAACAGTACCCGTGTTTGCAGAGTGTCCATCGTGTGTGTCCCTCCTAAGTGATGTACTTTGCTCACCAAGACACTTGGAGAGAACACGGGCTGCTTCAATCTTGTGTGGGCTTGTACTGGATCAACCTGGGCCATCGTGGCAGTTTAACGTGCTCCAGTTGCAACACCCTCGACATGGAAGAAATGAACCACTGGAAGCCTGGGCTGCATCAGAGATGCCAGTGGGATGGTCTGAGCTGAGGGCACGGCAGTGAGGGGCAAACCACAGGGTCACTGGAGCTGTATTCCCAAGGGATTGGGCACAGGCAGCCTGAGTGCTCTGCCTGGCTCAGGGAGAGGGTCTGGTGGGTCACGGAACGGAACCCTGGATGAAGGGTCCTCTTCTGCTGGGGCTGGTTAATGCAGCATTCAGCAGCTTTTGCTTGGAGGAGGTGGGTGTGAAGGGAAGCAAGGCTCTGGGCACGCTGGAGGCACCTCTCCCTGGAGGGGTGGGACACGTTGCTGCTGCTCAGCACCCCCCTTTGATGCTCTCTTCCGAGCAGGATTGACTGTGAACCCTGCGCAGCAGCCCCGCAGTGCTCTTCTCTGCCTACTCACCTTTGCTCTGTGTTGCAGGTTCCCTTCCACATGAATCCCTGAGGATCCTGCTGGCAGCCCCAGCAGCGTGCTGCAGCGGTGCCCTCCTGCTCCCCGTGGCAGCAGCCGAGGCCCCTCCAAACCTGCTTCTGCAATGGGTGGGTTGTAAGCACTGGTAAGACCCACGAGTCGTGTCGCCTCCGCTGCTCTCTCCCTCTCGCGTTGTCTCTCTGTGTCCTTGCTCCTTCCTGCCCATTTATTTCTGTTCTCCATGTGCTCTGCTGTTCTGTCTCTGGGGTTCTCACTGTCAGGTAATGAGGAGCTGTGGGTCCAGTCAGTCTTGGAGATGCCGAAGAGACGAGACATCCTGGCTATCGTGCTGATAGTTCTGCCCTGGACGCTACTAATCACCGTCTGGCACCAGAGCACCATTGCTCCACTGCTTGCAGTGCACAAGGGTGAGAGAACTCAAACCAGCCCATGCCCAGTCTGTGCATCCCTCCCTCGTCCTCATCTCCTCCCTCATTTCATTCCTCCATGGCAGCCATGCTCATCTCAGCTCCCAGTCCATGCTCATGCAGAAGCCTCCCCACTTCTGCTGTAGGAAGAACCCGGTGCCCACAGGGGTTCTTCACACACATCAAGCTCCGAGCCATGGGATGTGCTTCCTGCACTTGGAGAGCTCTCTGTGGCCTAAACCCAGAGTTCTGGAGGAAGATGCTTTGCTTTGTTCTCGTTGGATGATGATCCGTAGCAGAGGAGTCCCTTCCTGTTGTCCCTGCGTACAAGTTGAGCAGGAGAGCTGCAAAAGCAAGAGAGCAGAGGAAACAAAGCTGCCACTTGAGACAGCTCTGGGAGACGGGAGGCAAAGAGCAGCTCTAAGTGTCCTCAGGAAAGCAGCAAACTGCTGCTCCTGCGCTTGAAGGAGAAGGCAAGAGCCAGCGTCTCCCCCTGAGTGTCTGGTGGAGCCCCAGTGCTACGAGAGCATCAGCTCCCGCGCTCACCACTCACACAGAGCATCAAACAGAGCCCTGGCCCGATCCAGATCGATGCAGGAAGCTCTGAGGGATCCTGCCTGGCCAGAAGGTCCTCGCTGTTATCCTGCTTTTGGCACAGCAGCAGTGCCAGAGGGCTGCGAGAGCTCTTGCAGGCTTCGTTCTTGGCTCTGCCCTTCTGCTGCGGGTCAGTATGGGGGAGGCTTGTGTGAGGGGAAGAAAACCACCTCATTTCCCCTCGCTGGTCCTTTCTATGGAAGATTCTCTTCCCTCTCCATTGTCATGTTTGCACCCTTCCTCCCGAGATGCTTCTCCTTGTGCCGAACACTTGGAATTGCCAGTTCAGAGTCTGCTGATGTGCTTTGCCTCACACCAGCATGTGCAGGCACCTCGGCCCTCTCCATCCCCACCAGACACACATCTCCCCCCATCAGCGCCATGGAGCAGGAGACCTTCATTCAGTTCAGGGCTGCTGTCAAAGTCAGTGGTGCTGGAAGAGTAACGTGCTGTGATCCTGCTGGATCAGATCTCACGTCTGTTCCATTCCTTCTCATCTGGTGGTGGTGGCTCATTTTGCAAACCCTATGGCTCCAAATGTGATGAGCCCACTAGAGAGCAGCTGCCTCCGACACTGGATGGAGGGGTCCCTTCACCTCTGCCAGCTCCTGGCTGTAGACTGTGGTGTTCCTGCTGGTCTGCAGTGGTGGGGAAGTTTGGAAGTCACACCCTGGGAAAACAACAGGGGCAGGCGGAATGGGAAGAGCTGCATGGGAAGGATTCTGTTGGCAAGGCTTGTGCATCCTGTCCACTGTTCACTCTTGCTCTGCTGAGTGTGATGCTCAGAGGCTGGTAGGGTCTTCCTGAGGAGAGGTTAGCCAGAGGTGAGAGTCTTTGCAGGACAATGCCTGCACTTCCAGGCTTAATTCCTCCCCCCATTTCTGGATTTGAAGTGTGTCTTTCCCTGCTTCCCCATGCCCCATCCCAGGCCTGTCAGTACTGCAGAGTGCCCCCACATGCTGCTGCTGGGGGATCTTCACTGCCCGGGTATTACCAGCAGTTACGGCTCCCTGCATCCCAATGTTCCAGTGTCCTGTCCCACTGCACACGGTGCCCAGAGCCCTGGATGGAGCTCTTTGGGAATGACACATCATCCATCCACGTTGCTGTTTTCCTTATCAAGGTGTAACTGCTGTACAAAAGCCTTGTCTCTTCTGTAGCTTTGCCTGGGAAGGTTGGACCAGATGATCCTTGGGGTCACTTCCAGCCTGGTTACTCTCGGATTCTGGGTGCTTGTGGACATCGCTGCTTCTGAGCACTCAGGCCTTGCTTGGTGCTGGTTTTCTAACAGCAGAACCTTCTTCCCTCCTGTGCGTTTCTCCCTGATGCCTTTACTTATCTCTGTATTTATGGAAGCCTCCATCCGAGCTTGTTTCCTGTCCTCTGCACCCACGAGGGTGACCCAGGCTCAGCCGGGGGTGGGGGTGGGTGCTGGAGGACTGAGTCCATGCAGCTCTTTCTTCTCTCTCATACCCTCGCTCAGATGATGGTGGTGACTCCCAGCGTGATCTCGCTGCAGGCTTGGACTCCAAGGAATACTGCCTGTCGGAGCGGGACATAGTGGAGGTGGTGAGGACAGAGTACGTTTATACCCGCCCGCCCCCATGGTCAGACACCCTTCCCACCATCCACGTCATCACCCCCACCTACAGCCGGCCAGTGCAGAAGGCAGAGCTGACCCGCCTGGCCAACACCCTCCTGCACGTCCCCAACCTGCACTGGATCCTGGTGGAGGATTCCCAGCGCCGCACGCCCCTCATCACCCGCCTGCTGCGGGACACGGGGCTCAACTACACCCACCTCAACGTGGAGACCCCGCGCAACTACAAGCTGCGGGGGGACATGCGGGACCCCCGCATCCCCCGCGGGACCATGCAGAGGAACCTTGCCCTCAGGTGGCTGAGGGAGACCTTCCACAAGAACAGCAGCCAGCCTGGCATTGTCTACTTCGCCGACGACGACAACACCTACAGCCTGGAGCTCTTTGAGGAGGTAAGACCCTGCCGGGCTCACCCGCACCTTGGGATGTGGTGGGTGTAGAAGATGCTGAGGGGATGCTGTGCGCGGTCCCCTCCTGAGCGCCGGGTCAGTCTGTCTGTCCACATCATCCTGTGTGACGTGACGGCCACCCCAGTGGCATGAAATTGGGGTTTTACTGTACAGACAAGTAAAGGAGGGGCTGCCTTCCCCTGTGGGGAGGGTTGGAACATCACAACGTACACGGCCACCCTCCTTCCAGCTGGTTCCTGAGCTGGTGTCACCCACTTCTCCTCTGTGTTGCACTTGGCTGCCCGTGAATCAGTGTTTGCCAATTTGAGGAGCCCCTGGGGTCTCTCTTCCCTGCACGTGCTTGCTCTCACCCCACAGTGCCCGCTGGTTAAATCCCGGAGCTGTCAGGAGCTCTGCTCTGCGCGCTGCCACGCAGGGCATCTCCGGAGCTGCTCCGGGTGGCTTGGCTCTGCCTCGCTGCGCACACGGGGAGCGTGACTTTGTGCTTGGTCCTTCTTCTCCCAGAGAGGGCTTCACGCTGCCTTGGAGAGGGCTGCTCGTGCAGCAAGGGATGAGGATGGAGGAGTGCTTCCTTCCCCACCAGCTGCCAGGTTCCATAGCAGGAGTCTCCTATGTATTTGCTCCACACACGCCTCCTTTCCCTTCCCTGATGGCTTCCCCTTCAGCTGGGATAGCCACAGGAATATTCAGCTTTTAAAGCTGAAAGCAAATCCAGACGAATGCCTTTCTTCCACAGTCCCTTTTGAGGCTGGTCCTGGCAGCATCTTGAGGCAGACACCACACCTGACTAAAGCAGAAAGGGTTCCTTCAGCTCGCAGAGGCTTCTCCTCTTTGGGATGTAGCTGCAGTTTAAGGTCGGTCACATGGAGCTGCTGAAAGGTGCTGTGAAAGGCAGAAGACACACAGTCAGCGTGTTCCCTGCGGGCAGGCGCTGCTGTTAGCATGTGTATAATGCAGCAGGGCAAGTGCCAGAGCTCCTCTGGTCTCGTTTGCTGCAATTAGCAGTGATGAGATTAGCTCTGGGAGATCCCTGCTCTGAGAGCAAGGATGGAGGCTGAGCCTGGCGTTCAGAGCATCTGCCTTGGCAAGGGCAGGCATCTCGAGTGGCCCTTCATGGCCCCTCTCAGTGCCTGTTGACTCTGCAGGGAGTAGAGGCGCATCCAGCATCGTTCCGCTGCGGGGTAGGAGCAGCTACAATCTCAGTCTCAGTCAGGTTTATCATTGGCAGCTTTGGTTTTAGGGCTGAGGAGCACAGGGGCTCGGACCAACCTGCTCTAGTGGAAGGTGGCAGGGGGTTGGAGCTGGATGAGCTTTAAGCTCCCTTCCACCCAACCCAGCCTGAGATTCTCTCTCACATTCTGCTGCTAAGCCCGAGGGAAGCTTTAGGAGCTCCCGGCCGCTCATCCCCGTGCGGGTGAGTGAGGAGCTCTGCTGAGCAGGACGCGGGCTCCGTGCCGGGCGCTGCAGCACGTCCCTCTCTGCCCCTGCAGATGCGCAGCACCAGGAAGGTGTCGGTGTG